AAATAAGTTCTGTGCAGAATCTCCCTGAAAGTATGAAATAGAAAAATAGTTACCTTGAAAAGCATTATAAGAAAGCAGTAGAGCAGTAGGTATTAGCTTGTTTGCTGAACTTCCAAGAAAGGATTTTAAAAACTGTAAATGCTCTTAATAATATGCGTGATTAGTAGAGTTTAAAAACATTTGAATTGCTCGGAAAAGAGAGGAAAAATATCAATATGCAATACATATGTTGAGACTGGTCTTCAAACTTGGACGTAAAATTAATTGCAAAAATAACGAATGAACATTATTCTTAAGATTGAGAAACTACTCGGGAGAAAGTTAAGGAAAATTTTCAAAGGTAAAATTCAAGTGGATAGACTGTAAGTATATCCACTAATAACATAGTTCAAACGTGCTCATTGAAGGATAGGTTGGATTTAAACTATAAATTAATGAATGTATTTACGTATATACAATTAAAAGATTATCATGAAAGCAAAATAAAGCAACAGTGCAAGCAAAGTTTGTTTCGAATTAATCAAGGGAAAGACGGAGTAAATGTAAAGGACAAGTTTATACAGGAAAGAGACGACCTTGATGCATCTTAAGAACTAAATTGGACAAGATTCCAAGTGGAATGGAGAACAGCACTGCTGTACATAAAATGACACATCACTGTGAAGGAGAAGCTCAGTGTGCATATAAGGTCTAAAAATACAAGAAAATGAAGGATGCAAAATACTGTATCTAAGCTTGGAGATTCGGAGAAAAGTTTAAAGGACATCTCGGACATCAGCTATGTTTGCGGCAGCTCCATCCCCATTCGAACGGGGCAAAAGCACATTGGGAGCTTTGGGTACCCCTTTGACTTCAGCATTACTTAAGGATCTGTCCGCCTCAACCAACTCGGCCAGTCCAAATGCAAGCCTAAGATCATTTGCTTTGAATTGTTTGTGATTCTTGATCTTCTCATCCACTTTATTTACCTGCGCACTTTTATCAGCAATCTTGATGGGCCCCCTAGCAATTTCGAAAAGATTGCCCAAATACCTAGTCCCTTTCATGATCGGGCCAGTGTACTCGGTCTGAATGGCCATAGTTCGAGAGCTCAAAGTCTGGTCACCTAATTGTTGAGGACGTTTAACAGGAGAGTTGTGCTCTTCAGAAGCTACCTGCACCGAGGATTGATCCGAGTTGTCGACTT